AAATGATATAACTATAGCATTTCATTTGGAATTCTTGATAAAGGGTATTCATTATTCACTTGTTAGACTTCATCTTTTGAAACTTCATTGGATAAAACATGTCTTCGTAATGTGATATGAAGAAACCTTTTCAGCTGAGGTTATAATTTCATGGTTTTTATATACGTAATCTTTTTAAATATTTGTTAGTTATTTGTGTGAAAAATCAATAGATAAGATTTCATTGGGGGAAAATTCAGATGTGTACGATAAAGAAAACATGAAAATCCTTCAAACAAGCTTCTTAAGGAAATGGTAATCAGCTAATTAGTTTTCTCTTTTGTTAGAGAGGCGTTTTAGTCAGTTACTCTAGTTTTAAATTAATGGACTATATTAATGGTATAAGAATTAATAATGAAGCCTCCTAAAGAAAATCAAGTTGTGTATGAGAATAGCTGAAAGAATTTTTTGTACTGTTTCTAAACACTGTGAACTACAGCAAAATCTGTCCTGCCTTCTGAAGGAGTAGTATATGGTATGACAGATCTGCCCAGAAATGCTGTGAACGTGGAGAGTTGCTGTCCACTTGGACGAGAAGACTTCATTTACTTAGATTTGGGGATAAAAATGATTTGACTTCCCAAAGGCCTAGTAGACCTGGGAGAGACTAAAGGCACTGCTCTAAGGATGGAAGGCATTTTTTAGTGCACTGGTCTTTTAGATACAGGGTATATTAATGTACTTAACAAAGTTTTAATAGAAACTTGATATGCTAACATAGATAGTAGGGGATCAGGAGGTTGTGGCTAACCTCGAAGCTAATAAGAAGCTGCCTAACGAGGTTGCTTCTTGTTGAAATTGTTTTCTAAACTATTTTTATTGTACTTCCTTTAACCACTTCGGTACGTTGCTCACAGGCCATGAAACCTTTCCGACAGCCAGCACTCATAGTCTGCACGATAGTTTATGCTGTACGTTGACGACGAATCCGTTTTCCTCTTGTGTGATGAGGAAAGCTTTAAAGCACTGAAAGCTTGTTTTACAGGTAGCTTTGTCACGTATATCAGAATAGGTAACATATACATGTATGTTTTCATTACATTATTTTTAAATGTTCACAATTTTATTCTGATAAATTAGAAAAGTCAAGTTTTGTTATTAACGCTAAAGTCGATGCTCGGCTGTGCACATTCATCTGTGGCTATCAACGATAGTCAACGCTTGTACCGAAGTGGTTAAATTTCATTGATTTGGGGATTAAATAGATCTTCTCTCGATCATTTTGAATATAACTAATCACAGAATTTTATAGATATCTAAGTATAGACTCTGGGGGATTAGATAAAATGAGCACTGATTCATGGTATCTTTATGAAAGAGGTTAAAATTAACAGTTTGATTTTTTTCTATTCTGTTGGATGGTTTTACAGTGATAATGTGAAATCTAAGCATGACTTTTTTTTCTTGGTCACAGCAAGAGGAGGAGCTTCTTAATGTACGCAGAGGACTGATGAAATTATTCATGGCTCATGAAAGAAATGTTAATATGTGAAATACAGTTATCAACATATTTTATCTAATTGTTTTGTATATAACAGAAAATAGAATAGTCCTATGAAGAGAAAAATACACATGTCTTCTACTGGATGAGAAAGAACCGCTATAATACTACTCATTTTATCTTGGAGAGAGAAAGTAATATTTGCCTAATGTAAATTTTACTGTTCGGTTTCATAAGACTGAGTTAACTGTACTAACAAAACTAATACATATTTAAAATGTATTTTAAAATAGTTATTAAATAAATTTTGATAATAGAACATATATTACAAGTAATAAGAATTTGCCACACTTAAAAGGGGAGGAAATCCCTGATTTAAAATCTTTACCTGAGTGGGAGATTGGTACTTTGAGCACACTGTGGGAGATATTTACTCAGTTATAGCTCCACTGTATTAGGAGGCACTAAATGACCTAAAATAGCTACTTTATTTATTTCCTAAATATTTTAATTATAGAAGTCTTAATTCACAAGCAGGCTATTTGACAAGTAATTTTAAGCTTCTAATATTCATTGTAATGTTTTACTAGATTTATGAAAATAAACACACATTTAAGTTAAAAAATGTTTATGTCACTTGGGTAATTGTTTTACTTTATAAATTTTATATTCCTATTTTGGGAACTTTGAAGAAGGATATTTTGATCCAAAGCATAAGATCAATCAGAAACCCAATCAGCCTTATTATCCCTTGCCCCTTTAATAATAGCAGAGTATTTGAATAATACCAGGATTTCACTACAGTGGTAAAACTGGTTTCTTACTTACCTTTATATAATTATTAACATTAGCTAAGATTTATTGAGAGTAATGGGGTTTCTATTCTAAAAGAGAGCATGAGTTCTACAATATTAAATACCACCCAGGAATTGTCCTGTGAGACTTTAGAACTAATTCCATCATGACTTAACCACCTTGTCTATCTCATCCTTAGCCAGATCTATAAGACTCAAATCATATAACTCAACTCAGCCCAGGTTCACACTTCTTGCCCTTCTAAACTTTTCTGCTACATAACCTTGTCATTACCAATAGCTGTACCCCTTCAAATCTCAGATTCCAATATTCTTATACCCTAACCTTTCTATCTTTTTAAAACTTGCTTTGTAGGAGTAGTCCCAAGCCATTTACTCCAGGTTTTTTCTCTATGCCTTCACCTGTTTTGTCCTTCTCTTACCCATTCTAGATTCCACACTACCAAATAATCTCTTTTCCTCCTGTCTACCTTATCCACTAATTCTCAGCCCTGGTTCTACCAATTGAATAGCACTAGAGAAAATCAATTAACCTTTAAATTTATAGCCACATACTTTAAATGGGTACTCAGTATTGCTCAACAGTACGTACTCTGCCCTGTATATAGTTGGCTTTAGCACATTTCCTGAGTATTACTGCATAAGCAATACCTCTTTAATTCTCTATATTTGATAGTCTCACCTCACAATTTATCTTCACCCTAAAATCTAACATGTTTTCTGCATCAATGCCAGCATTTTCTAATTTATCCTTTTCCAGTGGCAGACTTGCCTCTTTAAGGACAGTCACCCTACTACTGCTCTAAATTCCATTACCATTGACTTTTAATTTCAGAACATTATGGGGATACAAACATTTTGGTTATATGAATTACTTTTATATAGTTTGACAAAGTTAATAATTGTGTCCATCACCCAGATAGTATGCATTGTACTCATTAGGTGTGAATTTACTGATCCCCTCACCTGCTTGATTTCCGTTGAATTAGTGTCGATCATTTAGTTCCAGTTTAAATGTACATGAAGTGTTTACTTTTTCATTCTTGCAGTGCTTCACTTAGGAGAATAGTCTCCACTTCCATCCAGGTTACTAAAGGTATTCACTATTTTTTATGGCTGAGTAGTACTCCACGCTATGCATATACATTTTATTAATCCACCTCCATATTCATGGCACTTGG